CCGTCCATCCATTTATCCATCCATGCATCATCCGTCCGTCCGTCCATCCATTTATCCATCCATGCATCATCCGTCCGTCCGTCTATCCATTTATCCATCCATGCATCCATCCGTCCGTCCGTCCATCCATCTATCCATCCACGCATGCATCCGAAAAACTGTTTACTATAGAAACAGCTATTGAAAAAAATCCAGTTCGTTTAACAAACGCATTTTCTCTGCAAATATGTCCTCGCTAACCTAAACCGCGCCAGCAACAGCATCACGAGGTCGCCATGAGCCATTCAGCATCCTTTTCAGCATCCTTTCATCACGGACGCTGATAGCGGAAAACACATTAATACACATCTAATTACAGCATATATAAAAGCAGAGGACACATATTGTGATTACGGTGCTTTATCTGGACGACGCCAATAAAAAAAAACACGCACAAATAAAAGCCGTTTCCTTGAATGCGACATGTTTCTTCCTTTATCACGCAACCAACAACAACCATGACCCCCGTTCAGCAGCCTGCCACGTAAAAGGGTTGATCTATCATGAACGTCGCTCACTGATGTTCGTGTCGGTGAAATAATTAATGACAAGCTGTGTTGCTTTTGAAGCTATCGGAGTTATCACCCAAATCACATCGCAGTCGCTCAGCTTACCTACAAGCAATTATAATGGCACTTCACCTAGAAAATATCCAATCTGGAAGGCCATCTGAGACCGATGACACGTGCATCGCTTATAACTACCTCTCACATACACATACGCACACACGCACGCACGTACGCACACACACACACACACACACACACACACACACACACACACACACACACACACACACACGCACGCACGTGCACACGCACGTGCAAACACACACACACGCACGTACACAGGCATGCACGCACGCGCGCGCGCACACGCACATACACATGCAAGCGCACGCACGCACTCGCACACAGGCACGCACGTTATAATGTAGGTCAACCAAATTGCTACATGTAAATAAACGTTTCATGCTATAGACATCCACTACTTCAGGAGATGAATTGGCAATTGCGAGCGTTGTATAGCTAACCCAGGAAACCTCTCAGGTAAAAGAAAGGTAAAAGCTATGGAATGTTTTTCTGTTGATAAAAACATTTATTTTTTGCAATCAATCCAATCATGCAATGCAATTGCATGCAATCAATCAACTCGCAATATAATCCAAATGTATTTTCTTTTGCAATCACGGTAATACTAACAGGAGTAAGATAATATAGGAGGAGTATGACACTCCAAAACACGTGAAATTCAACATTTGCTTGCCTAATTTTACCGATGATATATATTACATGCAACTCGATAAAAATTACATCTAAATTAGCGTTGGGCATCCACCGCACACTCAAACTTTACTTTGTTTCCATACCTCTTCTTTTTATGGAGATATAGCTTTGAACGTCACACATGGTTTATAGCGTTTGACTATGGTGGTGGTTTACGTTTGCCTCCACGTTCAA